AGATCGAGGACCGTAGTTTTCCTTGACTTGAGTGATTTCTGTGAACCCAAGATGAGATGGATGATGGATCCAAAGGTAGAGTCAAGAAACTGGAGGAAGAACGTACTTTTTGAATGAACCCACCCAACGTGTTTAGGGTGCGTTTAGATCAAATTTTTTTTTGTATTTTGGCTACTGTAGCATTTTCGTTTGTATTTAATAATTAATGTCTAATTATGGACTAATGAGGTTCGAAAGTTTTGTCTCGCGATTTCTCACTCAACTGTGCAGTTAGTTTTTTTTTCGTCTACATTTAGTACTCCATGCATATGTCGTAAGATTCGATGTGACAGGTACTGTGCAAAATTTTTTGGAACTAAACATTAAGGATGAAAACGGTCGGAAACGGTCGAAAAACTCCTAAATTGTTTTCTACTTTTACATTTGAAATACGAAAACGAAAGCGAAAACGGTAAAGCCGGACACGAAAACGAACGCGAACTTACGAAATATCGAGAATTCCGAAAACGAACCAATTCGAGCGGATTTATGTCGAACACGTCGATATCGAAAAACTCAATACGAATACCGACCCGTGGGACCAAGTGCATGACTAAGTACATACATGATCAAGTTCAAGTGCATATAATAATTAACAAGTGCATGATCCTTGGTCTTAGGTATTTAACACAATAAAAACGCCGACACATAAATACAAGTATAGAACAAGCAATTAGTAGCTAGCGGGGATAATAGGAATTAACAAGAACGCAGCTTGATTGCGTGGTGAGCAGCACATAATTGGGTTGTATGACCTGTGCAGTTGGCCAAATTCGGTTTAAACCGAATTTTAAATTCGAATATTTCAAATTAAAAGTAGAAAAGTAGAAAAGCGGTTGTTGTATGTCTAAACCGTTTTCTACTTTTACATTTGAAATCTGAAACATCTGAAATGCTGGCAAAACGGTAAAGTCGGACAAGAAAATACGGATTCGATCGGATTAAATATAGAAAACGATACGGTTCGGTTCGGGATATTTCCGTTCCGTTTTCATCCTTACTAAACATGCCCTTAGCGTACGTACGTACTGCGTGCGTGCTGGAACCTACACGCATTGAATCTGCTGGTGTACGTGTGGCCCTTCTCTCGTTGTCGTCGTTCCTGCTGTCTTTTTCCTGTCCTAGTGTGTTTTACTTGCCTCCCGGCTACAGGGAGTCAGGGACAGACTAGTGCTGCATGCTGCCGTTCCACGCTAGCAGTAGTACGTAGTACTAGTAATTAAGTGAAGACGTGAAGAGTAGTTAAAGCCTTTAGCTAACCTCTCCCTCTCGTCGACTCGTCCTGTTAATTTACGCCGGCACTAACCTTGTAGTACGTATAGCAGGTAGCACAACTGCAGCAACGTACGCACACGAACACTTGCACCGTGCACCCTCGCTTTCACTGCTACGCTAAACACGTAGTAGCGGTTTTCGTACGAGCGCTAGGTTATTTAATTAATCACCACACCAGGCATACAATACATGCAAGGAGAAACAGTGGTGTGTGTGTGTGTGTATATATATATATGGCCATGTGCAAGACGTGTCAGAGTGTGTCGTCGTGACGTCGTCCCAAACAGAGAGCTCAGAACAGCCGGATGCATGGCCGGCAGGACCAAGAAATTAAAAGCGGCTTCTTACCATATATATGAGCCCGGCTAGTCCGAGCTGGCTCGATCTATCGGGGACGAGCAGAGCAGTGAGGCGGTGAATAAGGTCCCTGTCTCTGTATGTAAATGGAACATAGAAATTTCACTGCAGGAATCGTACATAAATAGGAATCATTCAATTTTCCTTAAAGAAAACTTAACACAGTAATGATAGAGGAAATTTTCAGTTGTTTCCGATCCTACGGACCCTCAGTGATGCTCCGAGGACATCAAAGTTTTTTTTTTTTTGAACTTACGACATCAAAGTATAACCACGGCAAACGTAGCGGTTTTTTTTTTTTTGAACTTACGACATCAAAGTGAGGCTGTGATGCATGCTCCGACGAGGACGGCCGGCCGAAGTTACCATGGGGGCCGCGCGGGCAGGGCAGGTGGTGGAAGAATGATGCCATGATGGTAGGTGAATGAAGCTAAGGCTGTCTCCAACAGAAGACCCGTTACGGAATTCAAATAAAAAATAGGTCTCTAACATAATATCTATAATTTTCAACCGAGTACTTATATAGAAGACCCATTTTAGGTGTCAAGAGAGATATAACCCAAATCTAAGTATCTCCACTCCTGAAAATCTATTTGTGAAAAGGATTGTCTTTTAGGTCTTATTATTGGAGAAAACAAAAAATAGGTAGATGAATCTTGTATTTTGAGTCACCGTCGTTGAAGACGGTCTAATCAGCACTGAAACCTAGAAAGGTTTCAGCGCAGCCGATCGATCCGCGGAGTAATTCCTCTGCCTGCCTGCCTGCACGCCTGACGAAAACGATTCATATCACACATTTAAAAAGGCCTTGCAGCTGCGACGGGCCGGCGGGCGATAGACGACGATACATGCGCGTGCGGCAAGCGCGGCCCCCCTGCATGCGCCCTGCTGGCCTCCGATCCGTTCGATGCATGTATACGCACGCAAATCATGCAACGACGTCGACCAAACATGTCGTCGTGGCGTCCATATACGCCATTAATACTTCTTGCAGAGAAGGAATTCCTGCTAATAATCTCGCCGCCGGGATATATAATTCAGCAGGTGGACGGTCCGTACGGCGTGCAGCAGCGCCTACGTGCCTGCTGCATGCACGCGGATGCAATGCAAGAGTGGCCAAAAATACACGCTGCCATCGCATTCCATGCATCTCGCGATCGACCGGCTGGGATCCGGGATCGATCCGGCGGGGACATATCCTGCATGCTCGGGGCCGGCCGTCGTAATTATACTGTATTGACTGTATTCTGCATAGTATTCCACCTGACCCGCCCCGCGTTATGATCGACCTGACATGCCATAATTCAAGGCTAGCAGCTATTCCGGCCTTCAATTCGCCTCTTTATTATTTCCGTCTCTTCAGTGAAATATGAATTCTGTTGGTATTTTATCTTCTTTAATTTGCCATTTCAAATTCGAATATATAGCTATATAATTCAAGTGACGCATGCATGACGTTTGCAGTGTGATACTACTCGTATAATCCAAGTGAAAAACATCTGCGAGTCGAGAAACCGAAGCGCTGTTAGCTTGTAGTAGCAATAGCCTTACCAACTACTGCTACTGTCTGCAGCCGTGAAAAACAAACAGAACAATCGCGCTGTCTGACGAGATGTGGATCGATGGGATGCCAGCGGACGGCCAGGATGGACGACCCATAATTGGCGCAGGCCGGAAATTACCAGGGCCATGCCCCACGGTACCGGCGTGCAGCCCACTACGGCAACAATGCACGGGACCCACCTGGCAGTGGCAGTGGTCCCAGTGAAAACTGAAAAGGCCAGGCTAAAAGGGAGGGAACGGGGGGAGAGAGAGAAATTAAAGCACCGCCTGTTACTGGCCATGACAGGCCACATGAACCACCCAAGGAGCCAGTTAAAGCTTCCTTCCAAACTCCTATTTGCCTGCACCAGTTTTTAGTTTTTACCACCGCCTGCATGCAGCTTCGTTCTTACGATACTTAGGCCTCTTTAGCTTGCCACTTCATCTATTACGTACGTACTGTGCTCGCCGTTTTCGAAGTTAAAATGAACTGAAGCCTCAGTTTCTCAGTTTTACCGGCTTTGGCTTCACCGGTGAAACCGTTTTAGATGAACCGTGCCAAAGGAGCTTTACTACTCCAGCTACGTACGTACTTAATTTCTCTCTGTCAGTTCCCAGTTTTCTTGTAGCGAAATGGTAAGCGCTAAAGCTGTCCATGCGTGATTAGCAAGGAATTAACAGCGCACTAACCACTCACCAGAGGAAATGAAGGGATAATGTGAGTACTTTATTACTAGTATAATATACTGTACTCCTATATATTAATGAAAATGTAGTGACAAACAAATTAAAAGGAGCAGCAGTTAGTAGATGGAGAAACATAATGCACACACCACCACCCAGCCAGAGAGGCAGAATTGATTAGAACCATCTAACACCTTGGAAGCTAGCACTGATTATGACCAGTGTACCCTATACACAGTGTGGCGTAGTATGGATTAGCACTGCCTATGCACAGCTGAGCAAAAGTACTATCCCTTCACTGTGATAGTGCGATGTGTAGTACTAGTAGTATAGTAACATACGATCAGCGGAGCAGGCATAGCTAGGAACATTCTTGTGGGCTTGTTTGTGGCTCGATCAGCTACCAGCATTGCGGTACAGATCGGCGGCGGCGGTGCAGTAAAATTGAACTCCGGCGCTCCGGCCCGGCCGCCGGCGTCCCATCTGCCACCTGTTGCTGCCTCTGCATGCTCTGGCGCCGCTGATCCATGGCATCTCGTCCGTATTAATTAAACACCATATATTTTTCTGGTGCACAGTGAGTGAGTGAGAGAGATGAAAGAAAGTGCGATCTACTCGATCCAAATAAAAGTTTTACCGCTACCTCTCTCTCATTCCCCCCACAATCATTTGCACCACCCTTGCCCTCTCTCCTCCCTCCCTCTCTCTCTCTCTCTCTCTCTCTCTCTCTCTCTCTCTCTCTCTAATGACTATTTAACATGCAGGCTTTTGTTTTGCAGCTACCTGCCTGCATATAATTCTGTTGCCTTCTCACTCTCCTTTAGCTTGCTCTTCTCTCTCCCCATTGCCACCATCATCACCTCCATCTCCTCGCCATCACGCCTGCCGGCCTCCTCCTCCTCCTCCTCCTCCTTTGCACCGCCGCTACAAAAGAGCACACTGCTTGCGAGCTAGCTGCTCTTCTGTTCATCACAATTCACACGACGACGACCCTGCACTGCAGATCTTTCTTGTCCTAGCAAGTTCTTGGCGCTAGCTAGCTAGCTAGTTCCTTGCAGGCGTCTCAGCCTCTCCATATCAGTGCTAGACTATCCATCCGATCGATGGGCGTCGAGCTCGACCTCTCTGAATTGGCGGTGCTCCGGCCGATCCAGACCGCGGCGGGCGCCGCAGCGACGACGGCGGCTCGGCCGGCGGGCGACGATGCCGACGGCCCGGACGCCGCCGACACGGGCTGCGTCACGCCGACGGCGAAGAGCTCCCTGCTTCCGAGCCTGGGCCTGGCGGGCGGCGGCGGCCTGGACATCGACGCCGCCCCCGCCGCCGCCGCCCTCGCCGCCTGCGTGACGCCGACGTCGTCGCCGTGCCTGCTGCGGCAGGCCACGGTGTGCCCTCCGGCGCCGCGGAAGCCGGCGAGGCCGGCGCCGCCGCCGCCCGACAACAAGAGGAAGCGGTGCTGCGCCCGCCTGGGCCTGCAGCGCGCCTTCTTCCCCGTGCCGCACGACCTCTCCACCGTGTTCGTGCCACGCGGCCCCGCGGACAGGTCGCCGCCGCCCAGGGCCGCCAAGAAGATCCGCCTGCACGTCGTGGGCTGATGAAGAGCCACGCCGCCGGCTCGTCGGACGGAGTCATCGGACACGACAGGATGCATGCCATGCCACCACGCGCCATGCTTTCGATCTTCTTCTTCATCCACCAGTACTGATCCATGCGGCGGCGCGCCATTGGCCATTTGCAGCCTGCAAGTGCGATCGATGGAGGACAAATTCAAGCTTCCTGACAGGACAGAAGACACGAAGGCCGGCCGGCCGGCCAGTACAATCGCCACGGGCCAACATTTCAGCAGAGGTTACCGAGTGAGTGTGTGTGCAGTGAGTGCGCTTCTCAGATGAATCGAGTCTGAATCTGAAATTCTGAATAATCGAATTGTAAATACCACATTGTTGGCTGCGCATGCTTGTCTTTGCGCGTCGAGGGTATAAAGGCCATAATTCCTGGGAATTCACTGCATCAAATTCGCTGCCTGCAACTGCAAATGGATATTATTGCTCTGGCCGTCTGCCGTTGCCAAACGGCCGGCGTAAATAAATTTTCTCATGCATGTGTGATCTGGCGTGTCGTCTGCATACATTTTCTGTTTTAATTCCTTTGAAGATTCCAGTTAATTTCTGGTAACTGAATCTTGGAGCTGGCGTTAATTAAGCGTGGTTAGCATAAATCTCTGTCCCTTTTTTTTCTCTGCTTTCAGAGAAGGGGGAAGAAAAACTGATCGAAGAGTGTCCTGCTGACTCCTGACGACGAGAGCTTCCAAATCGTGTCCGCTTGCTGCAGTCCTTTTGGATGGTACCAAACCTAACCAGAGATGTGTGACTGCATCCATGCAAGAGCTGAACGAATTCAGAGGGCAGAACAGATCTGGAGAAAAAGGCAGTTGAGCAGGAGGCACGGCACTACTCAGATCTGAGCAGGCTTGCAGTTGCAGGCACAGGGCACATACATTTCTCAAACTGTTCACGTACAATTTCCTGAATATTTAAAGTTCCCTCTGCGCCTCAATGGAGAAAGAACAGAACGCAGCAGGGATCAATCAAGTAACTGTACGAGTGTGTATATTAGACCTGCTGCTGCCTCTGCCTGATCCTGGAAAAGCCTGCTGGCCCTAGCTGGAGAATCTGGCTAGAGAATTCTGAGAAAGCAATATTTTGCCTTTTTATAGGATAGCTGTAGCAATTTGTTTCCTTATAAATTGTTTTTTGAATGGAGTATACGTGCAATTTAAATCAAATACCATGCTTATTTTATAAGCCTCTTTAAAGTCGAGCTTGCAATCCTTGCATTTCTTACTTAATCAAGCCTGGAATAGTAAACATGGTGGCTTGTCACTCTCATGAGGTTTTCTGACTACTCCCTCCTGTTTTAAACACTTGCGTATACACACAAAAAGTTCAGGACACAAATCAAATTGGATTACTTTCCATTTGGTGAATTTTACTTCAACCAAAACGAAGAAAGAACTATATTACTACTCCCTTTAACAAGTGTTGTTCTTCTGGGAAATAAGTGATGTCTTAAAAAGGTGTTTAGGTTTAAATTCAACCAGATATACCATACTGTTTTTTGTCCTCAAATATAGCTAGTTATAGGATTGTCCTAAGTGAAACTACATTAAATTCGATTAAATATGTAGAAAAAATTTAACATCTAACGATGAAAATTAGTATTGTGAAAATTTAACTCATAATTGATCTAATGATGTTAATTTAATTAGTTCCTAGGCCTTGATATTACATATTTTTTTATAAAGGCATTACTAACATAGATAGATGAACCTGCTGTAATATATATTTATATCACCGTACTCTGGAAAGTATAAATGATGAAAACATTTGGATGGACATGAGATCGATCGAGTTGGCACAAAGTGAAATTAACATGCGTACCCTTTTCATTTACGCACGCACTACCAAAGCAAATTAATCATTTACTCATTCCGTTCCAAATTATAAACCGCTTTGATTTTTTTGGTTCATCTATTTTGCTACGTATCTAGACATATTATTATATCTAGATGCATAACAAAATGAATGTAAAGAAAATTCAAAGCGATTTATAATTTAGAACGAAGGGAGTAAGTAATAAATTATTTCGGCAACAATCTAAGTTGCGCCCGATATCTAACCTTTATCACGTACGATACAATAATAATAACAATTTTTTCATGGGAAAACGTCACGATTTTCAAGAGTACTACTGCCCAATCTCAAAATTGGAGGAACAAGTAGGAACCCAACTCTCGCATCTCTGTGAAGAATAAGGAGACGAGTGTACGTCAGGCATCCTACTTAAATAAAGCACATATATAATTGCAATAGAATTATACAACGTTCGTACATACATGATTGCAGTAGAATTATACAATGTTCGTACATGACAAGGAGATGGCTCCTCTTGTTCGTTTCCTGACGCATCAACATTAGAGGGAAATTATTCGAAATTTTTCCTGTTTGGCCACAAAGACGATATGATTTGACGCTTAGCAGCTATGTAGTGGGCGTGTACGTGCATGCATGCATGTTCCCCACTAGACTCCAAAAGCAGTTGGCTATTTTGTGTCTTGGATAATAGCAAAGGTATTTCCCATATTTTATACGTATTTTCGAACCTTTTGGTCCTTTTTTCTGCAAGGATCAAGTATGTATCTCTGACTTCTTTAATTTGTCTCCTTTTACATAGTCGCAATCAAAAGTCCATATAGCAATTGCAATCATGCTTTTTCACCTTTTTTCTGAGAAAAAAAGAGAAATCACTCTGTCTCTCTCTCTCTCATCGACACTAACCATACCAATTTCTATTGATATTGCAGGAAATACAATCAGTTTGCACTAGGAGGCAATCTACAAGGAAAAAGAAAAGGAAAAGGAAAAAAAACAAAAGAAACAGAACAAATGCAATTGATAACAAAAACTCTATAAGCGGCCGGCAAGCAACAAACACACAGTGCACAACATGATCACCACAACCTCCGCAACTCAAACAACACCATAATATTGGTAGCAACTGTCAGCCATTGCATTGCAAGCCTCCTTTATTATTGCCAAGAAACCAACGAGCACTTGACTAGCCATTGCCATGTAGGGCTATCCACCAATGTGACCCTAATTCGTTGTCATCCTAAGATCACGCACATGTGATCGTCGAAAACTCCGGCCGTGGCTTCGCATCTTCAGAAACCGTGAAAGAAGTGGATGGCACCACACAAAGAAGGCCTCCACCATATAGGACTGGGCGCTAAGGCAGCTTGACAAGCGGCGCCGGGCATTTCTTTGGGCTGGAACATAAGCCGTAGCGGGGGGAAGTGCAGGGTCGCCTGGCGGACTGTGAACGCACCCACGTGCTATGGAGGGTTAGGCGTCCCGGGACCTGAAACTCACTGGCTTCGCCCTACGTCTGCGTTGGGAGTGGCTGCGTCGCGTCTGGCCTGATCTGGGCTGGTGCGGCCTTCTGGGAGGAAGGAACATGAGGTCCAGTGCATGTTCCGGTCATCCGTCACGGTTGCCATTGGAGATGGGCAGTCGGCTCGGTTCTGGACCGACTCATGGCTTTCTGATGGGCCGATCTGTCTCTTTGCTCCTCACTTGTTCGCCGTCATTGGCAGGCGACGCCGTCAGAAATCAGTGCGTGAAGCTATCACCAACAGAAGCTGGGTCCGTGACATCCAAGGGGCACCCACCACCGAAGTCCTCTGTGACTACGTCGTCATATGGGAAAAGGTCGTCGGGGTGGATCTCGACGACCTTACAAGCAACAGGTTCATGTGGCGTTGGACTGCAGACGGGATGTACTCTGCTTCCTCTGCATACATAGCCTTTTTCATTGGGATGATATCCCTTAGAGGCGCAAAGGAGCTATGGAAAGCTCGGGCTCCGCCCAAGTTCAAGTTCTTTTTTTGGTTGCTGTTGCAGGATCGACTTTGGATAGCGGTGAGAAGGAAGTGTCGCGGACTGCAGGATGATGATGTATGGGCTCTCTGTGACTAGGAGCAGGAAACGACGCAGCACCTGGCGGGAGGTTGTGTGTTTGCTAGAGAAGTGTGGTACAGGGTGCTTGCACCCATCGACCTTGATCATCTCGCGCCACAGCCTAGGACATCATTTCTTGATTGGTGGCTGCAGAGTCGACACCAGCTCGGGGACGACGCGTCGCAAGGGTTTCGACTCTCTCATAATCCTTGGAGCGTGGTGTCTCTAGAAGGAGCGTCGTGGTTGCTATCACTGACTGAGGAGGAAGCAGATCGCTGGTCTTAGGCGGGGTACTGCCACCTCGCCGTGCTATGGGCGACCACAGATAGCGGTTGATCCTCGACTGCCCGAATCGTCGCAAAATTTTCTTTTATGTAATATCAGTTTAGTTGTGCCACTACTAGTTGCATGGTTAACTCTGTCTGGCCATAGAGTGCCACTCGCGTCCTAGGCCAACCGGCGTTTACCTTTGTAACAACTCCTTTTCCTACTTAATGATATACATGCCAAGCATGGTCGCGAAAAAAAAACATATAGGACCTATATCATTGTAATGTTGCTGCAACACTGTACAATTCAATCCACCAACGTATTCCACTAAATCCTGACTCATCAATCCAATGCTGTGTCATAGACACCACCACGAAAACACTGTGCATAGGGCCTCTCCACATCCGCCGGTAGACACCGCTCCACGCTCTCGTCACCTCAAAATAGCAAGGGCCACGCACGCCACATTCGCCAAGGATCTGTTTTTTGTATCACCGTTAGGAGCGTGTGCAAAGCCGTCGTACAACCTCAAGATGATCTCTTCGCTTTTCTAATAAGCCGCCACCAAAATCTGAATCAACTACACCACCAGCACACACCAGAAGCCTCTGGAGACACCATGCACATGATCACCATTGTAAGAGCATGCCGGCAAACCATTCACTTGCGCCTTCTTTCGATGAACGAAGACGCCATTACAAGCTCTTTGCTGACACATTATTGTTGTTGCCACAAGCACCGTCTTCTGACATTGTACCGCACCGAATTAGCCCCCTCCTAAGCAGAGTCGGCCACCGTTAATCCAC